GCAGTTAGGCCAATAAGCAAGCCACATGCAATATTAATTACCATATTTACCTGCATCTAAGACAACCCTGAATTTAAGATGATCTCCCCTCCGCCCCCCTCCCCCCCCCCGGTAATAATTTTTTATATACACTGGAAATTTATAAATTTGTTTTTATTTTCCATGCACGGAATCTAATTATTGGAGAATCATATTAAGTTCTAACACCCTGTCCCGTCCTGTCCTGTTCCCCCCCCCCCCGATCATCACTAAAGGAGGGAGGTAGGGGGGCAGGTGATGAGGGGACAGTAAGGGGCAGGTGATTGGGGGACAGGGAGAAGGTGGGAGCAGGCAGCTTGCCCTGTGTTGCTTGCTCCTTCTGCTTAGCCCCCTTCTGTCTTCTCCCCCCACCCCCCTCCCAGCTTCAGGCTCCTGCACCATCCTTCTTCCTGTCTTCCCCTGTGCCATTTCTGCCCTGCAGTCTTGGGCCTCTGGCCCCTGCCTGTCCTTCCCTATTGCTTATCTTTGGTCTATGCCAACAGGCTTCATTCACATTGAAGCCTGGTACCACTGCTATGGGGCTAGGCTGGGCTGGGATTGGAGCTGTGCCCTGTGCTCCAAGCTTAAGCAGGGTCAGAGCCTGCCAGCAGCAGAGCAAAGATAAGCAGGGGCAGGACAGGGGGGAAGAAGCAGCATAGAGGAGAGAAGGGGAAAGGGGTGGGGGACCAAGGCTTGAAGAGTAGAGAGGGAAAAGGCAGGGGTGGAGAGGCAGCAAGCAGCAGCTGTGGCTCCAGCCCTGACCTAGGGTGGAGGCTAGAGCTGGATCTGAAGCTGCTTGACCCCTACTGCTTCGTACTTGATTCCAAGACAAGGGGCATTTCCCCCTATGTTAAATGGGGAAGAAACCCTTGTCTTGGAATAAAAAAAATACAGCAATAATTGCAAATCAGCTCCTAGATCTTTACAGTTTGTATGTATTAATATTGCACTATAGATTGAGTTACAATTATCCTGCATTATACTCCAAATTCTCTTGCATTTGATCTGGAAAAGCAGATGAAAACATTTAAATGGTTGAAAGGAGCTGTCAGCTGAATGCATGCTAATATGTACACCTCCATGTTTGTGCTTCATTTTGTGGATGCAAGCACCTACTAATCATTTTAGTATTTGTGCATACCTTCTGACTAGGCTAACACCTGCACACATGCAAGAATTAGCATCTTCAACTATTGGGTTCTGCTAGTTCAAATAATAACATTTGCAAATTAGGCAGTACAAGTACGTGCTTGCAGGTACAAAATTAATGTCTCCACACAAGTGAAGGTCAAAGGCTGGAAAAGTAAATAATCATTTGGTAGTGCTGTGAAATGTTCATTGCACTATTTTAATATCTTAAAATCTTGATTTGTTATGAAATGGAGTGAAAACCAAAATTTCAAAATTCTCTACAGAAAGTGACCCTAGGGAATTCTACCTCAAATTTTCTGGGAGCCCTGGATTCTGTACCCCCTGCTCTGCCAGCCTGAGCTATTGAAGAGTTGCAATGTTGGGAGTTGAAGCTTCCAGAACTCCTTAGATCCTGGCTTCTTAATAGTTCTTCTGATGATGTGTGAAGAATCTGCAAGCTTTCATTCTCTAGACCAGTGATTTTTGACCAGGGTACAGTAGCACTCAGGGATATCTTAAAATCCTTTCATGGGTGCTGCACTGTTAGATGTGCAAACATGATTCACAAGCTAAAATCAGCATTTTCACATAGGAATCTATAGAGATAAAAACCTTCTGACGTGTTGTGATCTTTCACAGTTCTTTGCAATGCAAGAATTGCACTGTTGTTTTTGTTGTGATCCCCCAAAAGTGTGAACATTAAGAGCTGGCATTTTCTGAAGGATCCCTCAAATCTTTAAACAGTCGGGAACCACTGTGCAAGAATCTCTGGCTAAACTTGCAATTTGGGCTGTTGGGAGCAGTGGCTGGATTCTAGATTTTCAGTGCTCCCAGTTCACTATTAGGCTGCTTTGTGGGCTGAAATTGAGCCAGGGGCTTTGGATCTCGGGAGTGGTGCTCAAAGCCTGGCAACAAAGAAAGAAGGCATATTTTGAAACCTGACTTTCGAATATAGCTTAATCATTAGGTTAATGGTTATCTTCAGAAAAAAGCACAGGTTAGAAGACATTAATATTATTCAGTTACAAAATCAGTTTTCCAGAAGGGCCTGATTTGACCAAAAGTGGATGTTTTTCAAAGCAAAGAGTTTGTTGCTCTTCCATTGCACTGCAAGTGTAAATGGAGCAAGAACCAGTTTCACCAGCATAAATTATTTGCAGACCTTGCATGGGTTTATTTATCATACTAATCTACATATGTGTTGTCAGCGGGGAGCAATCTGTCCACTGAAGTCTCTTTAAATCAAAGATACAAATCTGGCATTGGTTAACACCACTTTAATTTGTGAACCCTTCTATTAGACTTTGTTTGTTGGCTGATTTTCAAAAGTACTGAACATACTCCAATCCAATAAAGTTCACCGAATATAGGAGAACTGAGATAAAAAGGAGCCGAGGAAATGTATCTGTAAATACAGGAGTTTAGAAACAAAGTTAGCAATTTTTCCATAAATAATTTATAAGACAGTGCTGCTGCAGAGCCAGTACTGAACAATACTCATTGAAGGAAGGTCTACATTTCCTTTCTTTTCCCATTTTAAATGCTGTAAATGTATAATGTATCTGAGCATTCAGTGGATGATGATGATCCTGAATTGTGAAAATGGTTTGTAAAACAGACTTAAGTGAGAGACTGGATTATAGGAGTGGTCGAGCAATATGAATAAATAGATCAATGGACTAGCCTGCATTTAAGCAAATAAAGCAACCAGTGGAAATTATGGAAGCAGGTAGGGGCAGGGTACATGAAAAGCTAAATTACCAGATTTGTTGGAGATTTATATGACTGTGGGAAGTGAAGGCTGGCTGGGTTAATAGTTAGTCATGGGTTTGGGGAATTTAAACAGAAGCTTGGTTGACCCATGGAAAGAAGCTAGGAAAAAAATCACCTTCTCTGTAGGATTACACTCTTTTTATGTAAATCTGATGAATTTGGCTCTCCCATAACCACTTAGGAATTGTAGGTGTAAAAAAACCAGAATTGAGTGAATAATGAAGGATAAATAATTTATTAATTGAATTTAGTCTGCCTTTCCTGTGCACAAGCGATGAGGAATTTTTGATTTTCTTAAATTCATCCTTACGGTGTATTTGAATATTTTTGGTAATTTCTTTTTATTAAGTGAAATACTGTGCATAAGTCTCTGTGAATATTTAGTAATGTATATTTAAGCTACATTGCTTAGTTGTGAATTTGGTTACTTACATCATGAAGTATGGTTTCCTGTTCCTTTATTGGATAAATGCAAAAAAACTTTTTACCAGTAAGTACACTTGTGTGAGAGTTTGAAGTTAATTTTATATCGATACCCTCTTGCATAACTTAGAAAAATTTTATTCAGTGAACTTCCAGGTTAGTAATCCTTGATCACTTAATTTTTTTATGGAAAGTAAACCGTAGAAGACACATGGACACACAATTTAATTAAAAAAAATCAAATTGATATGAATTCATTTTTTATTCAGGGAAATTTCAAATTAGTAATCCCTGATCACTTCAATTTTTGTGGAAAGTAAAGCATAAAAGACACATGAATACATAATTGAATTTTAAAAAATCAAATTGGTATGAATGGATTTTTTTATCTAATATTTTTCCTGCTCTAATAAGGAAAGAAGACAATTATCCACGAAGAATGATTGTAATAAATATCAGGGATATGAAATGTAACATTTATTCTAAATTTAAAAGAATAACAGGAACTGATCTAGTATTGATTGAATTAGATGTTAAGAAAGGAACATTCCTTAAACTGATTGTATTGTTTACTTAAAGTATTTGAGAAGTGGTGATATTTGAAATCCAGCCACCTCACTGTGAATCAGTAATAGTTTTTTTAATTTTGTCTACTTTGTCAGTATAAGATATGAGAGGATCAAAATGTCCATTTGCTGTTTCAGAATAGTTGTGGTTTTCTTCTTGAGGAAGTGAAAAGCATGTCAGGCGCATTGTTATTACTAGTGGTACGTGATAAATGTTGTACCTGGCTAAAATCTAGTGGTGTGCTACACAGATCAGACTAGAATTTGCCTCTCACTTCCATTGAAAGCACAAAATGAATTTATTATGACTCCTACTACAGAATCTTGTTTGGTACTGTTCTTGTATTTGCCTGGATTACTCATTTTCCTGTTTTAGGCATTCATCGCCAAAGTCTGAGAGAGAGAGAAAGTTTAAAATAAAAAATGTGAAGAGGAACATAGTCACTTTCTATGCCTTTTCAAATATGAATTATACAAGAATCTGTAATGACCCTTGTGTACAAGTATGCAGATATTTAGTAGGGAATGGAAAAAAAGATTAATTAGTGCTTTGGAGAATTTTCTTCAATATTTGTAATTGAAAAGCTGTTGAAAACCAATCCTCTGCTCTGCTGACAATCCTGTTTTGTAGGATTGTCAGTATAGGAACAATCTAGTGTATGTGGGATAATCTATTGCATGTGAAACTTTAGCACCATAATCAAGACTTTGGACAACCCTAATTACATCTCAAATTGTTATGTTTTTTGGCACCATAAAGTTTAGGAACCATATTAGCTTTTTGGTTTTTTTTTTCTTTTTGGTGCATAGTACCCAAGCCTTAATGGAGAGAAATATCCATGCACTACTGTTAAAATTGCTTCCCTTTTCTTGGTTTTGTTGCTTCACAGATCCTTTCCACTGCAGTCCTATTTCACACAATAATGACATCCACTTCAGCATTTAATGGCCTTGAATGTGATCGAAAAGATGAGTAGGAGGGCTATCAAAGTGTTTTCATCAAAATTTTCAGTGTCGTGAAAATATTATGAGCCTCATTCAAAAATATCAGACATTCACTATGTGCTTTGTGGATTTTTTTCTCTTTAGCATTTGGGAGACCGGTGGGCAGCCATTTGTAGATGGACAGAGGATCGCTGGGTTCTTTTGCAAGATATTCTTCGGAAATGGCAACTCTTTGCTGAAGAGCAGGTGAATAGTCTTAGCAGTTAGAAATCTTCAGATCATTAAAATATACTATAGTAAGAATGACCTTACAAAAATCGCTCTCTTACTTCTCCATTTTTTTCAGTGCCTTTTTGATGCATGGCTTACTGAGAAAGAGGATGCCGTGAACAGTGTTCACACCACTGGCTTCAAAGATCAGAATGAAATGCTGACCAATCTGCGCACGCTGGCTGTAAGCATTTTTCATTTATGTTGTTTCATGTTTTATGTTCTGCTTTTCTGTTCATAAATCTGATTGCATACCTGGTTTCATCTGACCCTCAAACAGTAAAAACATTTTGTGGGATGAATGGTACCTTGGGAACATGGAATCATTTGGAACCTGGAGCTATTATTGTGCTCATTTCTTTACTGAATTGAAGCGTGCATGTGTTTTATTTTTGTATTTTAGATGCATTTAGTTATACATTATTGTATATTAGATACAAAAATCTGTATGGAAAGAATTATAAGAGTGATGTTAGTTAAGATTACAAGGTCAAAGATGCTTTCAATGTGTGTATATATTCATATTTTTGGCACACCATTATAACCTCAAATTTAATACAAAATAATGAATTCTTTCTGGTTCTGATTGTGGTGCTCAACACCTGAATAAATTTATCTTAACAGTATATCCCTTTAGCCATCTATTGTTCTTTTCAGAAAATCAAGAGCTTACAGTTCACCATCTATAGTATGGGCTTACACTGCTTAGTGTTATAAACCTTTGTAGGTAACAGTCCATTAACCATGGCCGGGCCTATAGCATGTGATTTTTATCTGGTTTTTATTATTATGGTATTACAGATTTTTCAGGTAGCTGTGCCTCGGGACTCTCTGCCCTGTCTGATCTCTCTTTTCTAGGACCTGCTTCAGCCAGCTCTGGTATGACTTCTAAGTGAAAAGCCTCTGGCTTCATGACCCTGGCTCATCTTGTCCCTGGTTTCTGGATATTCATAACACCCCTACTTCAGAAAGCAATTTCCTTGCTTAGCACCTGAGAAGGGAGTTGGGGTATGTGGGCCCGAGTACTGATGTCCCAAAAGCCTAGCAGATAGCTCCATCTCAAACGAAAGTGTCTTTACTGCATCACCATAGTTCCCAACAATAAATTGGTAAACAGCCAGCATCCAAGCACCTTTAAAAAAAAAGCTTGACTGTCCCTATGTCCTCCCTATGCTTTCTCCCTTCTCCTCACCTCCATTTCTTCTTCTCAGGCACAGTGTGCTATGTTACCAACGAAGTGTAACAAAACCATAGTAGCTAACCTGGGGACTACTACTTACCCAATAAAATGAAACGATGTTATTTGGAACCAATCAGAGAGCACTCTCCAGGACCCGCTGCTAGCTCCAGACTGTTATGTTCCCCTGGATGAAAAGGACATTTAGATGTTATAGGAATAGAAGATCATAGGAAAGGAGGTTCTGGAAGGCACCTCATAAGGTCATCTAGTCCGGCCCCGTAGACCATCCCTGATTAAGGCAGGATCATCCCTGATTAAACCATCCCAGCCAAGTGTCTGTCTAACCTGCTCTTGAAAACTTCCAAAGATGGAAATTCCACAATTTCTCTTGGTAGCCTATTCCAGTGCTTAGCCACCCTCAGCATCAGAGTGTTCCTCATTAATTCCAGCCTAAATTTCCTTTGCTGCAGCTCAAGCCCATCGCTTCTAGTCCTATCCCCAACTTCCACAGAAAAAAGCCCATTTGTATTCTTTCTGTAATCACCCTTTGGGTATTCGAAGATTGTTATCAACTTCCCCCTCAGTCTTCTCTTCCCTAGGCTAGATGACCCCTAGTTCTTTCAGTCTTTCTCCATAAGTTCTGCTCCCCAGTCCCTTGATCATTTTTATTTGCTCTGTGCTGGACTTGTTCCAAACTGTCCATATCTAGCTTGAAGTGTGGGGGCCCAAAACCGGACATAATATCCCAGGTGAGCCCTCACCAGTGTTGTCTCATGTTCTTCTTTGTCCTATTGTGTCCAACTATGAAACACTGTGCAGCAAAAGGTGTTCACTCTGAGCCCTCCAAAGCATTTTCCACAAGAACTCTGGGAGGGGAATCACTTCATTTTGCCTGTTCAGTGACTTCTGGTGCTTTATGAAAAGAACATGGAAAACAGTGATCAATTTTAATTTAAAATAGTTCAAAATAAGAAAGGAATTTAGAGTGAGGTACATGCAGTAATTTTTCAAATCAAAATTCCTTCATATAGTAAGATGAAGGAATAAATTGACACCTCCGTATTTCTGATGAGTAAGTGAACAACATCCATTGATTTAAATAATTGTGCATACAATCTGCTGTTAAAAAGCATCTGCTATTATTTATTTTGACAGAAAGAAAAAGCTGTTAATTGGCAATGTGTGTCTATTAGACCTTACAAACTAAAGAATTTTTCAAGCCACAGGTTACTGCTGAGTTTTATCTCTCTGCATAGATAATACAATGAGGTCACTTAGTTGTATGAAATTATATGAATGACAGTTTTTGGTGTCTCTCTCTCCTATAATGTGTAAAGAAAACTGGGTAGTCTTAGCTCTTTGAATATCTTCTGCTATTATCACAGTAAGTTATTTCCATAATTTTCTCATGCACTTAGTATTCAATATATGTCAACTTCACTGTAAACAAAATGAACAGATATTAAATTAAAAAAAAAACTTGCCATTTGATTGTGTAAACTAATTAACAGATATCTGGCAGCTGGTCTAGAATTGATGGCTAATGTCCCTGCTGATTCAGGCAGTGACTAGGAATTTAATGCTCTTTAAAATATGTCACAATTTGAGACCCAAAACTGTGACCATCTGTCAGTGTAACCTTAAGTAGCTGGGGTTGCACTTTGCTAATCCTTGCTTTTTCTTCTGACCACAGTAATTTCCCATGGCTTGATATATACTTGTAGTCTGTAATGCTAAAGTGAAAGACAATAAGGACTCCAGAAGGCATTGTTTCTAGTAGGAAAATTATCACTGTGACTAAAGCTGATCTTAGGATCATGTCCAAACTTTTCCTTTGAAGCAAAATAGTTCTATTTAAATTAATTTTCCAACAACCCATGTGTTTCATGTGAATTCCTGTTCCACTAACAGAGCAAGCTGGGTTCGGCTCAGTAGTTTTACTAAGTAAAGGCTTTTCCTTTCACTGGAACCATTGTATGGATTCTGTGTGTGAACGTAAAATAGAGCCCCTACTCTATTACTAGCAGGGGGAAGCCCAGAGAGGGACATGATACCTTCCAGAGGGCCTCACAGAGGACATAAGCCAGACTTCAGACTGTGGAGGGGCCACTGCCAGGCCCAGAGCTCTGGGAAAAGTGGGGTCAGCCTTCAGATTGCTGAGAGGTGCTACCTAAGTCCTGCAGGAGAGTGCCATCAGGCAGCAGGATGGAGGGCGTTATAGTCACCAAAGGGTTAAATTGGCAAGCTGCAGGAGTCAAACCTTGAGCACTTCATTGAAAGAAACAGGACTGCAACAAAGAGTCACAGCAGACTAATAGGAAGCTGCTGGACCCTGTTAAGGGAACCTCAGGTAATTTGGCCAGGAAAGGTAGGAGCAGAGATTCATGCAAGCCAGGCCTGGGGGCCGGAGCTTCAATTTTGGTTTGGCTTTGACTTGGCATGCCCTGGGGAGCAGGAGCTTCACAGGAACTGGTGAATGCAAGCTCATGGACTTCAGAGGTGAGAGAGTCTATAGGCCCTGAGAGAAAGGACCCGCTAGGAGGGACTGTCTAAAGATAAGTAAAGAGAGCTTCACTCTTTGTTTATGTTGCAGATTGGTTTAAAAGCTGCGAGGTATGGCAGTGCCTGAACTGCAGGCCACTGAAGATGCATCAGATTTATACTACAGTCCTTAAACTTATAAAAAATATCTACTCACAGCAGGCAAAACACACTAAAAAGCATAACTAAAACATACCTAAAAAAATCACCATTACTGACAAAGCAAATATTCATTGTGCCCTCAAATGGGGTCATATAAGAGGGTAGAATCATCTGTCTGTAACAAATAGGCAAACAAAACAATGAATTATATAGGTATGTGTGAATAGCTGATTTTTCAGTTGGGTTACAAGAATACATTGTAAGCACTGTGTTCAGGGTACACTCCTGGAGTGTTGCTTTATATCCCATCAGACAGAAAGGGATTTAGAACCTGGATCTCTCATACCTTAGACCAGTGTGTTACAGTGTGGGCTTTTGGGTAAAAGAGGATGGCAAAACCTGGTCTTCCTTTTTCTCTACATTTGCAAATCTAGTCCAATGTTTTCCTAACCAAAACTATGCAGTGAATTCATATTAACTTCACAAATAATTTGGGGATGACTTAAACCATTTTGAAAGCAGAGGCATCAACTGGGTGGGGGCCCTCCCATTTTTGTGGTTAAAACTAGATCTTAGCATTTTTGCTATATGCTATTTATTTTAGAATCCCTGCTCAGTTATAATCCCACATAGCAAGTAGCAGCTGGGGACCAGGCTTTAAAGACCTTCCTGATCCCAATTCCTGATCCCATGGGGTCTCACACAGCTGCAAGGCTGCCCAAGCCTGGGCAGCCGCAGCACAGCTGCTTCCCACCCCCCACATGTTTCCCAGTGGAACCAGAGCCATGAATTGGATAGGGGCTCTTTTCTTCAGGCAGGAACCCAGTTCTCTTTTACAAGAAACCTCTTGAATGTCTGCACAATTCTCTTTTTGTGCCAGGAGAAAGGCCCACAAATTTTATTTCACAAGATTCATTATGTATTAACATATAAAAGTTTTTCATTTGCCATTAAATCTCTTTGGGGACCTAGTTAGGCTATGTAAGAAAAGCTGCTTAGATATTTGCTACTTTGCACTCTGATTACTGGTGGATTTGTGTTAGATTATTTCTAATATTACTCAATGCTTGTCACATCTCTAAAAGTATTTTTTGACACAAAAATCATAATTAAAGTAATTGTCTTGTTGTCTATGCTCACCGATGTGGCTATTTTTATTTTATTTTTTTTCCTAACAGTTGTTGACTGTCACTGCCACACCAGCTCAGTGGTATAATGGCTTTTCATTTGTAGCATGGTTAAAGAAAAATATAGAATACACCACAGTGGATACAAATGGTATGATGATCAAGTGGACAGAGCATTAAACTAGCACCCAAAAGACCTTGGTTCTGTTTCTAGCACTCAAAAGATCTTCCTCA